GCTCTCTCTCTCTCTCTCTCTCTCAAAATAAATAATTTAAAAAATGAGGGAGGGAATGGTGGAGGCGGGGGTGGGGGGACAACAATCTTCATAATCTGAGACTAAAGGACAATTTTTCGAAAAAGGACATTTGGAAGCCTCACGCTGACATCTCTGTGGCACAGCACTGTCCCTGTGGTCCTCGTTGTGCTGCAGCCTAGGAAAACGATGCAGACTGGTGTCTCGGCCAGAGCAGGTGCTGATGGGCCCATGTGTTCCCTCAGCAGGTACCCTCTTCTCCTGCTTTGGCTTCAAGGAAGGGTGGTTAAGAACATTGGTTGTAAGTACTCTCTAGCCGATGGTTTGGAGTCAGGCTGATAGGGCTTCTGAACCTCAGTTTTCTTACCTTTGAAAAGGAGATAATAGCTACCTTAGCTAAGGTAGTTTAGGATGAAATGGGCCCAGTCTCTGGCTTAGTGAGTGGTAGTTATCACCTCAGAGTGCTTATTTAAAAGGTGGCTAAGCAAGGGGGTTCAGAGGGAACATGACAAACTGAAACAGCTGGAGATTGTCCAGAATGATCTGTGTGAGGAGCAGTGTAGCAGGATGCATATTGGATATAGGTGGACTCATGGTCTTCTGAAATGCTGAAAATCTCCTGCCTTCAACCATGACCTTGGGTCAACCCTTTGTCTCATGAGGCCATCTGGGGCTGATGTTGTTGAATGTATATGATCTTGATTTTTTGGTCTCATGAACAAAGAAAGCAGCTTGGCTCACAAACCACCATGTAGTCCTCCCTCTTGAGGCCAAAGTTGGAAGCCCCATCTGAAACTTGTATTTGATTATAATGGAAACCAAAGCCAGGTCTCCTGCAGTGGCTTGAAACCATCTTTGATCCAGTCAGGAGGCTGTCGCCAGGTGTTGCTTCCACTAGGGTAGCTTCCAGAAGCCTTCTTCTTCCTAATACTCTGTTTCTGTCTTACCCACAGTGATTTTCGTGGACTGCCCTGGGCAAGAGTCAGCCCTGCTTAGCACTGATGGTGACTTTGCTGCGCTGAATGGTAGAACAGTCCAGGTAAGACACCATGTGCACCTGCCAGGAGGAAGGAAGATGTTCTCTGTGCATGCCCAGCTTGCTGCTGGCCAGGAGTTCGAGGTTGCTGGGTTATGAACCATGTTACCCCTTCAGAAGAGGCAGTGTTAGCCCTCAGTTTGCCCACACCTATGGGCGTGGCTACTGATCTAAGCAGGGTAATGCCTGCACCCTTCCACTAGGGGCGCCAGAGAGTCAGGCCAGTGGGGCAAAGAACTGCCTTGTGAACAATGGCCCAGTACCTTTTGCCCCTCCCATTCCCTTTCCCATCACCCTTTCCTTCTTTCCCATATCATCTTGCTAAACCCCAAGGGAAGGTGATTCAAGACCCCATGAACATCCCATGAGCCTCTGGGAAGACAGACCTGAGGCACTCAGCCACATTTCTTTCTTTTAATTTTTTGAATAGCTAATATATCCATGTGGCTCAACAATTTTAAAATATTAAAAAGTTACACAGTGAATAACCTCCTTTTGTTTCTCTGCATTTACCTAATGCCCTTTCCAAGAGAATACACAGATAACCACTGTTACCAGTTATTTTTCCTTTTGAAGTTTATTTATATATTCTATATGTATATTAAACATATGTATTGTATATATTTACAGATCTAAAAATACTTTTTCTCCTCTCTTTTATGCAAAAAGATATATTATTTACATGTATGCACTTTCTTTCTGCATCTAAAAATAGGTTTTGTTTATATATAAGCCACTATGAATATGTGGCTTTATTTTGCTACACTTTTACACAAAAGCTGGTACATACTAATTATGTAAGTTATTAAATAAAATACTAAACTATATATTCTAGTGTATTTAATTGGTTCTCTGTAAATAAACACTTAGGATTCTTTTCAATTTGTCTTGTGCAATAAACCTATTTAGGTCTCCCTCCTCACCCTTAACTTCTGTAAGTGAGCGGATATCGAGTATCTTCCAGCTGTTTGCGTGGGTTAAGGGGTCTTCTCTCCTTGCAGGAGAGGAAACCATTGAAGATCTCCCCATCCAACCGTATCTTACAAAGACGCAAGAGAGAATGGGTGGTTCCACCGATATCCGTCTCTGAGAATGGCAAGGGTCCCTTCCCCCAGAAGCTCAATCAGGTATGACTGTGCTTTCTCCCAGGGAGTCACTGGCGGGTACAGGGACCCTCATCCAAAGGCCTTACTATAAGGTCTCTTGCTCCTGAAAGCTTCTGTACTGGGAACAATTTCTGATAAGGCTTTACCCCTCCTCACTTTTGTTGGCAGCCGTGAGAGATTTGTCACTTTGTCAGCTGCTATTTTCTTGTGCTTCCAGCTCAAATCTAATAAGGACAGAGGCACCAAGATTTTCTACAGCATCACAGGCCCTGGAGCAGACAGCCCCCCTGAGGGTGTCTTCACCATAGAGAAGGAAACAGGCTGGTTGTTGTTGAATAAGCCGCTGGACCGGGAGAAGATTGCGAAGTATGAGGTAGGTAATCTGGAGCATCCAACAAAAGCAGGGCCCCGTTGCCAGGTGGGGAGGGTGGGGTCAGGCTGACCCTGGACCTGTGCACCCACAGCTCTTTGGCCACGCTGTATCAGAGAACGGTGCCTCAGTGGAAGAACCCATGAACATCTCCATCATTGTAACTGACCAGAACGACCACAAGCCCAAGTTCACCCAGGATGTTTTCAGAGGGAGCGTCTTGGAAGGGGTACTACCCGGTAAGAGGACTGGGAGGGGACAGCTAGAGAGGTCTGCTAGGCCCAGACATAGCCTTGGGTCAACTTCTAGAACCATCTAGAGGTCAGCCAAGACTGTTAAAGGCTGGAAAAACCCTCTATACTTGATTTCCTTGGCTGTATATCAGATCACCTGGGATAATCTTAAAAAATCAGATTCCTGGGGTGCTTGGGTGGCTCAGTAGGGTGGGCATCCCACTCTAAATTTCAGCTTAGGTCATGATGCCAGGATTGTGGGATTGAGCCCTGCATCCAGCTGAGCATGGAGCCTGCTTCAGATTCTTTCTTTCTCCCTCTCTCTCTCCTTCTCCCTCTCTTTCTTTCCTCCAACACTCTCCCCCACTTGCACACACATTCTCTAAAAAAATAAATTAAAAATTTAAAAATAAAGCCAAAATCTTTAAAAATTCAGATTCCCCCTACTCTATCCCAAGATCCCTGAATAAGGATGATCTTAAATACACAGCTTTGCAATCTGTATATTTACAAGTTTCCCAGAAGCTTCAGGTTTGGGAACCACTAGCTTTAGAGCTACAAAGATCTAGAGATGAATCTTGATTTGCCTCTTTACATGTGACCTTTTTTTCTGTGACCCTGGGCAAGTTCATGATCTCTGAGCCTCAATCTTCACATCTGAAAATGGGAATTATATTACTCATAATTGTGAAGATTGGATATAACACATAATGACCTCAAAAACCGATGCTGGTGGGGAGGGGTTCTCCTCTTCCTTCCTCTCTGAGTTGTGGAAGATTTGAGAAGTATGAATTGGTTAGGCTGCCAATACAGAAATCCCCCAAAGAAGAACAGGACCTTAAATGAGATGAAACCTTATTTTCTCCTTATATTCAGGAAATCTAGAGGTGGACAATCAAGACTACAATGGTGCTTTGCAGTGTTGGAGATCTAGGTTCCTTCTCTCTCATTGCTTTGCTATTGGGGCTTTATTTCCAAGATTACTTTGTGGTTGCTCCTGGAGTTCCAACCATTACACCTGGAAGGAGGGAAGCGATGGGAAGAATAAGCCCCATACTCAGAAAAACACTTCTCCCAAAGTCGTATATCCCATTTGTCAGAATTTAGTCTCAAGGCCACAGCTAGCTACAAGAGGGATGGGAAATAATCTTTGTTCCAGGCAGACCTTGTGCTCAGCTTAAAATGATTATGAGCATTTTGTTTCTAAGAAAGAAGCAGAGAAAGGAAAAAGGACACCACCTAGCAATCGGCCACAAAGTAGAGGATGGGTCCAAGGTGGAGCCTCTCATAGTTCCAGAAGTAGGCAATGCTGTAATCGGAGCTGGGAGAGAAGGGTGCTCACTCATTCCTTCTCCCCTTCAGGCACTTCTGTGATGCAGGTGACAGCCACAGATGAGGACGATGCCATCAACACCTACAATGGGGTGGTTGCTTACTCTATCCATAGCCAAGAGCCAAAGGACCCACATGACCTCATGTTCACCGTCCACCGGAGCACGGGTACCATCAGCGTCATCTCCAGTGGCCTGGACCGGGAGGTGAGTGGCCCTTAGGGAGAGTGCCGCCTACTCAGGCTTTCTCAGGCTGGGGCCTGACATTCAAGAGCAGAAGCCAAGCCTCCAAAGCCCAAGGTGGAGCAGTGAGAATCCAAGTCAGCTGGGAATGGCTGCTGCTGTGTTCCCATGTTGATGTCCCACAGCTCTCTTGGGCCAATGGCATGCTGCCAAATGATCTCGTTAAGGCTGAGGAGGCAGCTGTAAAATGCAAGCGTTTGATATTTTCTGTAGGTTTTCTCATTTCCTCTCGGAATGGCTCACTTAGCATGCACGTTGCCCAGATTTGTCCCTTGTGTGCTACAAAGTAGAATTAGCTCCATGGATATTGGAGTTGCCTACTGTTTCCTAATTAATACCTTTACCCGAATCCCCACTCAAAGCTCCCATTCTGTATCAGCCCGGGGTCAGGGGGCAATCCCCAGGCTCCACCCCACAGTTGGCCCAGGAGAACGATTTAGTTCTGTGTTTCCCCTCCCCCTCCACCCTTTGCCTCTGTTCTTTTCTGCCGTAGGTGAGTAGTGGGTCAGGGATTCAAGAGAGCACTGTGAGAAGGGGAAACATTCCCCTTCCCTCCACGTATATCCAGAGCTGTGCCTCTGTGAGCCCAGGCTGAGGGACCTCTTGGCCTGAACTTGCCTTTCCTCCCCAGAGAGTCCCTGAGTACACACTGACCATCCAGGCTACAGACATGGATGGGGATGGTTCTACCACCACAGCAGTGGCCATAGTGGAAATCCTCGATGCCAATGACAATGCTCCTGTGTTTGATCCTCAGAAGGTAAATTTGATTTCAGTCCTTCTTTCCTCATCAGATGATGAAGGACTGAGTTTTCTTTCTTTTCTAAGTTTGTTTATTTTGGGAGAAAGTGAGCACACGCACAAGCAGGGGAGGGTCAGAGAGAGAATCCCTAGCAGGTTCTGCACTGTCAGTGCAGAGCCCCATGCAGGGCTCAAACTCATGAACTGTGAGATCATGACTTGAGCCGAAATCAAGAGTCGGCCGCTTAACTGACTGAGCCACCCAGATGCCCCTGAGGTTTTTCTTTCTCATGAAACTCTGGAAACAGCCCACATGGCTTCCAGTCCTGTGCCACCGCTTACTAGATGTGAGACCGGAGGCAAACTACCTAACCTCTTTGTGCCCCATTTCCTAATCTGTGAAATGGAGGTAATAGTAATACCTGCTGCATTGTTCTGAGTTTTAAATGAAATAATCTATGTACAGTTCGTAACACAATCCCTGGTACATAAGTGCTTAATATGAAAATCCTTGTTGAGGGGCCCCTGGCTGGCTCAGTCAGGGGGAGCTTGTGACTCTTGATCGTGGTGTCGTGACTGTTAGCCCCACATTAGAGGTAGAGGTTACTTTACAGAGAAAGAGAGAGGGAGAGACAGAGAGAATGGAAGAAGGAAGGAGGAAAGAAAGGAACAAAATCCGTGTTGTTATGAAAACTTATAATTTGCCTCACACCTATACGTGTCCACCTTCACCCGGTGAATACTTCGTACACCTGCGGCGACGGAGGATTCGGTGCCAATCAAGATGACACCCACCCCCCCTTCCATCCTTAGATAATTCTGGCTACTGAACATTATTTAAGCTTGATTAGAAATGTGTTCTGAGCAGCCAAGTTCCCAACTTTTGCCACTTACTCCAGAGCTTCCAAAAAAGTTCCTGCTCAGTGCCGTAAAGCAGTCAGGCAGCTAGTCCCTCTTGCCACCTTCTCCATACCTTTCTGATCTCAGCTAGATAGGTGGCTAGGCATGGCAGGGTTTAGGGCACCCAGACCAGTGTGATTACTGGAGTAGTAGGCCCTGGATGTACGAATAGTAGGCTCACCATCCCTGTGGTCTGTCCCAGAAGCTGGAAGGACATGTCTCAGGACATTCTGCATCTGTGTGTGCCCTGAAACCCTGATGTGTGGTATTGGGTGATCCCAGAAAGAGTGAGCGGCGTGGAATGGCGCTCCCATGGAGTCACATGGAGGATCCATAGCTGGTGAAGCGTGGAACGGTCTCAGGGTGTTCAGTCTCTGCTCTGACTGTGCTGTGCTTCCCACACCAACAGTACGAGGCCCAAGTGCCTGAGAACATGGTGGGGCACGAGGTGCAGAGGCTGACAGTGACTGATCTGGATGCCCCCAACTCACCCGCATGGCACGCCACCTACCGCATCTTGGAAGGTGACGATGAGGACCATTTTACCATCACCACCCACCCCGAGAGCAACCAGGGCATTCTGACAACCAGGAAGGTGAGTCATTTTGGGCTTTAGACAAGCCCACACCTGGGACAGTCAGGTCTGCAGCCTCCGGGAAAAGGAGGTACCATCTGCCTTGGGACACCTACTTTGAACCATTCAACTGGGGAGTGCAGCAAGCTGGTGGCTTCTGACCCTTTCCCATCCCTCTTGTGTCAGTGTATTGCTTTGTTCAAACTAAATCTTAACCAGGGACTCCTTTCAAAAAAACAGGTGGGAGTCACTGATTTGATTAAGGCAGATGAGTAGAGCTCCTCCTCCCAGATCCTGGTGTTCAGTGGCTGTCCCCAGTCAGCCTTCTTAAACAGAGAGGCTCTGTTTTATTGGAATGCTTGCAAATTTTGCATTTAATCCATAACACATGTCTAGGTTTTTACGTAGCAAAATGTTTTATGTTACTTAGTAGTTAGAGATACGGTTGTCTCTCAAAAAGTCTTTGAATAAAATTGATGCTTTTAGAATGGCCTAGTTTGAGAAGCAGAGCTTTATATATAATACTTTAAAAACTATCCCCTTCTTTCAACAAAAACTTTGTAATGCCCTTTTTACATTGTCAAATGAATTTCATTTATAATTAAACTTACCTAACTTACATAATTTCTAGAAAAAGAGATTGCCCTAACTGTGAAATAAAGAAGAATTTTACAGGAAAATTTACTGATAATAAGATATTTCTGTACGCGAGCTTCTGAGAACATACTAGAAAACACAATGAAGGTGGTCAGTTACTTGCCTCTCTTTGGAGACTCATCCAACTGTAGCGGATGCTGCGTGTCACTCTGTCGGCTCATACACACCACAAGTCATACTGGTATCTTTACAGGACAGCAAATAAACAGCTTTTGGGAAGGGCCTGAACAAATCAAATTACAGGCCCCCCTCAGAAGCTTGCATTCCTAGAAAAGTCATATATATTAAAACTGCCTCAGAAACACATAAAACGTGTTCTAGACTGGAATTATCAACAGATTTTCCACACCCACAAGCACATGAATGTTCAGGGGGATATTGGCAAGTCACACAGCCTGTGGAACAGTTCTTGGTTTCCCTGCCCCAGCCTATAAATGCCAGCGGCATCCCCAGTCATTAGGATCACCAGAAAGGCCTCCACGAGTTTCTCCACCACCCTGTTGGGAACCAACTGTAGGGCTTTCTGGTTTAGGGGTGGTCTGAGAGGCCCTACTGGCTGTCCACTCAAAGTGTAGGAGGCTATATGGAAAGGGCAACATTGCTGTTCCTGGAAACCTTGAGCCCCTCACTGTGGGCCCTTTCCTTCTGACTTCAAAGCATTGCATGGGGTCTCCTCACAAATTGGTGGCTCAGGTTCTCCTTCCTTTTCTCTCTCAGGGCTTGGACTTCGAGGCCAAAAACCAACACACCCTGTACGTTGAAGTGACCAATGAGGCTCCCTTTGTGGTGAAGCTCCCAACCTCCACGGCCACCATAGTAGTTCATGTGGAGGATGTGAATGAGGCACCTGTGTTTGTCCCACCCTCCAAAGTCATCGAGGTCCAGGAGGGCATCTCTGTCGGGGAGTCTGTCTGCACCTACACTGCGCAGGACCCTGACGAGGGAAATCAGAAGATCAGGTACACAGGAGCTGGGCTCAGATGCATCCAAAAGCATTAGTAGTATTGGACGGGTTATTTATTATGGCCAGTGTTTGCTCCCATTACCAGAAAGATTGCTAAATATTTTGAACATCATCCCCGCACAGGACCTTCCCTTCCTACCCTCCCCAACACTGAAGACTCTGAACAGAGGTCTAGGGGGCAGGTATTCCCACTCTCTCTCATGTGTCCCTGCTGGGCCCTCTTTCTGCCGCTCTCGCTTCCATTTGGGGTGAGATGCATTCTTCATGTGATCTTGCTTAGGACCCCGAGCCCCATAACAGCATCTGCTAGTTGAATGAGTAGGCTTTGGAGGACAACCAGAATTCTAAGTATTCTGGAAATGACTCTCTTCAACTTTTCCACTCCAGCTACCACATCCTCAGAGACCCAGCAGGGTGGCTAGCAATGGACCCAGACAGTGGACAGGTCACTGCCACGGGGGTTTTAGACCGTGAGGATGAACGGTTTGTGAAGAACAATGTCTATGAAGTCATGGTCTTGGCCACAGATGATGGTGAGAGCTTCCTCCCAATCCCTCCGCTTGGGTACCTTTGGAGCCCATGACACAGCACATCCCCTCCACAGAGTATGGTGTCAGGGAAAGATGTCAACAAACCAATCTGGAGGGTCAAAGGGGACTTTAGAGGAGTCTTTCAAAGACCAGGATTGGCTATGGTTTCCCTAAGACCCAAGTGTTAGGAGAATGACTTCTTTTAGCCTAAGTGTGTGGTTCACTGAGCCCAGAATTGGCCTTGTGATTGATTGAAAGGGGCTGCCTGGAAAGTGCCATGATTGGTTAGTGATGTCATACCATGACAGGATTGGGAGTTAGGATGTGACTTGACATTGCTGCTTGACACAGTGAAGCAAGGTCTGGAGGCAGATGAAAGGTTCCCGCAGGACTGTGAAGGGAAGCATCCCTAAAGCTCATTAGCAAACGCTGCATCAGCCCTGAGATGGCCAGTAGGTTTCCTTTTGTGATAGATTGGTAGTGGCCATATGGATGAAGTGGCTGTAAGGGTGCTAGGATCACTTAGTAATGTCTGCTATGGGAAAGATGGCATGACCGCCATGGATTTACCATCACTGGTTTGATCTATGATGAGACCAGGGCAGGGCATGGAAGGTCTTGAAAAGTTACAGCTGGGCAGTTAAAAGGAACCTCCCTGGGGCTGATTGGATAGGTCATAGGAGAGCTTAACACTCATTCATCACCCCAACCAACAGCAGATACTAAAAGGGATCCTATGTGTAATTATGAACAGGGAGCCCTCCCACCACTGGCACTGGGACCCTCCTGCTAACACTTATGGACATCAACGACCATGGCCCGGTCCCCGAACCCCGACAGATCACTATCTGCAACCAAAGCCCTGTGCCCCAAGTGCTGAACATCACGGACAAGGACCTGTCCCCCCACACCTCCCCTTTCCAGGCCCAGCTCACACATGACTCGGATATCTACTGGACAGCAGAGGTCAATGAGAAAGGTAATTGAGTGGTGGTTGGTAGTAGGTGGGTGTCTGCCCCATACCGGGACCCTGTACACATTCCAGCATCTTGTGGGTCACTGAGTTAAGAACGTCAACCCATGGGTGCCTGGGTGGCTCAGTTGGTTAAGCATCTGACTTTTTTTTTAAGTTTATTTATTTATTTTGAGAGAGAGAGAGAGAGAGAGAGAGCCAGAGTGCGAGGATGCACCAGAGGGGGAGGAGCAAAAAGAGAGAGAAGGAGAATCCACCCAGGTACCCCTAAGCATCCAACTCTTGATCTCAGAATCATGAGTTCAAGCCCCACATAGGGCTCCATGCTGGGCATAAGCCTACTTTTAAAAAAAGGAAAAAAAAAGACAAAAAATGTTGGAGAGACACCATTCAACACTTTCGCTACTTATTAACTTTGTGTTAGCCTGTGGAAATCCACAGCAGCCCTTTAAGACTGTTCTTGTCCAACCACCTTCCCGTACAGATGGAAAAACTGAGGCCGGGAGAGAGAGGGTGTGGCTTTCTCAGTATCACATAATAAAAGAGCTAGGATTCCTGCAGTGATAATAGCTAACATGTCGTGAGCATACTTATTTTGTGCTAGTATATCACTGGTATATACTATATATGGTATATACTATACCACTTCAGATGCTTCATAGATTAGGTGACTTAATCCTCACAACAACCCTGGGTGAAGAAGGTACTATTAACACACATAAATGTATATGCACCCATTTTACACGATGAAACCAAGGCTTACAGAAGGTTAAATAGCTTGCCAAAGGCTTTATGGCTAGAAAATGATGGCCACCAGAATTTGGATCCAGACAGTCTGATTTATCATTAGATCTCTGCTTCCTACCATTTATTGAATGCATATTGAACAATATGCAAAATGCTTTTTCTTTCCTTCCGTAATATTTCTACCACCTTCTGTGGTCAGTATTTTTATACCTATTTAAAGATGAGAATGAGGCTCAGAGAGGTTAAATAGTATGCCCAAGGGCACAGAGTGGGTAAGTATGGAGCAGAAATTGAAGCCACAGTCCCTTTCCCCAACACCCCGCTCCAATCCATCTCCCTGTGCTTTCTCTTTCCATCCACCCAGAGGTTCTCAGTCTGTCATGGTATTTTAGTTGTCACAAGACTGAAAAGGGGTCTAACTTGGTATCAAGTGGGTGAGGACCCGGGGTGTGTGAGAAAGGTGGATCCAGCCTCAAGTGCCAGGAAGGCCCCTGGAGAGACACTGTTCACTTTGGTTTAAAATGTGTCCCCTTTCCTCTTGGGGCTAAGGTCCCCTAGGAGGGAAATGGGGAACCAGTATATATAGGTTCTGCCCCTATAAATAGGATATTTATCTATATATCCTACTTGGATATGTCCAGTGTCTATTACTGCTGCTGAGCCTAGCCCTGAAAGGACTCAGGAGACCTGTTTCAGATACCCACATGATCTCAATTTTATGATTCCTGTGATTTGGGTATGTATGACCAGCACCTTTCCTTTGAGGAGTGCAAGTTGGTCTCCTGTTACCCCGTTGTGGCCTGGAAGCCATTTTTTCCCCATCCCTGACCTTATCATTTATAGAGCATGGACTCTGGAACCAGAATGCCTTAGTTCAAGACCCAGTTTCTCCATTTACTAGCTTTATGATTATGGACAAACTACTGAACCTCACTGTTCCTCAGTTAATCCCTATCTGTAGAATGGTGCCGATAAGTGTACCTACTTCGATACGGTTATTGTGAAGATTAAGTGATGACACAAGAGACACGTTGTTTGGTACATCAGTGCTCAGTAGGTGTGTGAACAGCCACCTTCATTCATCACCACTATTTCCCAGCAGCAATCACAGATCTGGTTCAGTCAGGTGTGAGCATTATGACCAAAGCCCACTGGTACCAACACCTGGTGATAATATTGATACCTGGTTCTTGGTTTTAAGTTAGTTTCTCTTTCCTTTTTTTTTTTTTTTTTTTTTTTTTTAATGTATGTTTGTTTATTTTTGAAAGAGAGAGTAAGCACAAGCAGGAGAGAGGCTGAGAGAGAGACAGAGAGAGGAAGACACAGAATCTGAGACAAGCTCCAGGCTCTGAGCTGTCAGCATAGTGCCTGACATAGGGCTTAAACCCAGGAACTGTGAGATCATGACATGAGCCAAAGTCGGACACCACCCAGTGGCCCCTTAAGTTTTTGTTTTTTGTTTTAACATTTATTCATTTTTTAAAAACAGAGTGCGAATGGGGAAGGGGCAGAGAGAGAGGGAGACACAGAATCTGAATCAGGTTCTAGGCGCCAAGCTGTCAGCACAGAGCCCGATGCGGGGCTTGAACTCATGGACTACAAGATCATGACCTGAGCTGAAGTCGGCTGCTTAACCAACTGAGCCACCCAGGCGTCTCAGCTTAGCTTAGTTTTTCTAACTGATCATGTCCTTGTTATCAGGGGAGTTAATCCATCCCCTACCCCAGTGTGATCTCACATTAGTTACTTGACCTCTCTGAGCTTCAATTTCTGCATTTGTAAAATCAGAATAATAGTACCTGCCTCTTGGGGCACCTGGGTGGCTCAGTCAGTTGAATGTCAGACTTCAGCTCAGGTCGTGATCTCATAGTCCACGAGTTTGAGCCTCGCATTGGGTTCTCTGCTGTCAGTGGAGCCTGTTTTGGATCCTCTGTCCCTCTTGCTCTGCCCCTCCCCCACTTTCTCTCAAAGGTAAATAAACATTAAAAAAAAATAGTACCTGCCTCTTAAAGTGGTAGTGGAGAAGAGTAGGGCGTGGCTCCCAGTTAGTGCCTGCTTAGTCACTGGCACCACCATTGTCATCAGCCCCTGAGAAATCGCCATCCAGCATGGGGATAGGATGGTGGTAGGGATGTTTCAGGGAAACACACCATGTTGGCCTCTATGTAGGAGACTAAATTCTCAGCCTGCAGAGCTCCCTCTCTGCTTGCCATCGCTGAATTGGAACAGGGCAAATTCTCCCTTCTAGCCTTCTTGCTAGGAGGAGGCCAGAGAGTCTGCATAAACTTTTTTTTTTAATTTTTTTTTTCAACGTTTATTTATTTTTGGGACAGAGAGAGACAGAGCATGAACGGGGGAGGGGCAGAGAGAGAGGGAGACACAGAATCGGAAACAGGCTCCAGGCTCTGAGCCATCAGCCCAGAGCCCGATGCGGGGCTCGAACTCACGGACCGCGAGATCGTGACCTGGCTGAAGTCGGACGCTTAACCGACTGCGCCACCCAGGCGCCCCTTAATTTTTTTTTTTTTTAATGCTTTATTCATTTTTGAGACAGCATGAGTTGGGAAGGGGCAGAGAGAGAGGGAGACACAGAATCACAAGCAGGCTCAGGCTCTGAGCTGTCAGCAAAGAGCCCGACGCGGGGGTCAAACTCATGAACTGTGAGATCATGACCTGAGCTGAAGTTAGACGTTTAACCGACTGAGCCACCCAGGCACCCCATGCAGAAACTTTGAACTAAAAATGGCTTGAGGGGCACCCGGGTGGCTGAGTCAGTTGAGTCTCTGACTTCAGCTCGGGTCATGATCTAATGGTTCATGAGTTAATTATCTCTCAGAAAGAATTTATTCCAATGTATTCTTTTTTGAGGCAGAGAACAGTCTAGCGCTAATAGTGCTGAGAAATTTTTGGCCTTGCATGACATGATTTTTTAAAAAACATCGTTGTTTTAAAAATAGTGTAATTATTGATTTTAAGGGGGAAAAATGATGAATTTCTTTTCCCTTATTTTTAAAAATTTTAGTTTTATTTCTTTTGAGAGAGGGGAGGGGGCAGACAGGGAGTGTGAGAAGGGGAGGGGCAGAGAGAGAAGGAGAATCCCAAGCAGGCTCCATGCTGTCAGCACAGAGCCTGACACAAGGGCCTACACCCACAGGCTGCGAGATCATGACTTTTGCTAAAATCAAGAGTCAGATGCTTAACTGACTGAGTCACCCAGGCACCCCAATAAATAAATTTTCCTATTCCAGTAATTCTTTCCATGATGGTGCATATTTGGCTTTGGCCAAATATCAACTTTTAACACTTGACATAAGTGTGCTTTTGGGATATTTCTCCCTGTTGCCCAGATGTAGAGGCTGTCTCCTCAGACCTCCAACATGATCTGCCCAGTTCCACTTGGGGATCTCCCAGGGTGAATGTTATCTGTCCACTCCAGGAAACACAGTGGCCCTGTCCTTGAAGAAGTTCCTGAAGCAAGACACATACAATGTGCACCTTTCTCTATCTGACCATGGCAACAAGGAACAGCTGACAGTGATCAGCGCCACGGTGTGTGACTGCCATGGCCATGTGGAGACCTGCCCCAAACCCTGGAAGGGGGGCTTCCTCCTCCCGGTCCTGGGGGCTGTCCTGGCTCTGCTGCGTGAGTACCCGTGCCCTCTCCCCTCTCTGGATGGGGTAGTTAGAAGACCCAGTTCTACCCTGGACTGCTGGGACTAAGACATCCCCAACATTGCATATCTGTTCCTGATACTCTTAAATTTTTTTTTTCAACGTTTATTCATTTTTGGGACAGAGAGAGACAGAGCATGAACGGGGGAGGGGCAGAGAGAGAGGGAGACACAGAATCGGAAACAGGCTCCAGGCTCTGAGCCATCAGCCCAGAGCCCGACGCGGGGCTCGAACTCACGGACCGCGAGATCGTGACCTGGCTGAAGTCGGACGCTTAACCGACTGCGCCACCCAGGCGCCCCTGTTCCTGATACTCTTAATTCTAGGAGTGTCATTCAGTCAATAGATGTTGATGGAACTTCTGGAATGTGCCAGGCTTTGGGGATACAGTCGTGAACAGACAGACCCAGCCCAACTGTCATGTCATCTAGAGGCTAGAGCAGTGGTTCTGAAAGTGTGATCTTCAGACCAACGACATTAGAATTACCCAGGAACTTGTTAAAAAGGCCAGTTCTCAGGCCCACTCCTGACCCATTGATTCAGAAACTTAGGGGTAAGACCCAGTAACCTGTGTTTTAACAAGCCCAGCACGGGTTCTGATGTATGCTAGAGTTTGAGAGTCACAAGTCTAGTGGGCGGAAGTGTTTAGTTGCAAGCTAGGTTCTTTAAAGGTAGAACCTATCACCTTTGTTTTTTCTACCCTCTGAATTCCTTACACAGAAACACAATCCGGTACGAATTCAACAAGGGCAAACTTTAACGAGTCCACATACTGTGCTCTAAGCACTGTTTCAGCGCTGGGGGTGCAGCATTTTATAACACAGACCACTCTGTGTCCTCATGGAGCTTACTTTGCATGCAGAGAGCAGACAGTGAATCATCTGGCAGAGAAATAGGTATTGGTATGGAGAAAAAGAAGTGGAGTGAGGAGGTCTGCCATCTTAAGTAGGATGGGTAAGAAAGGCTTTGTTGAGAAGGGATATTCGAATAAAGACCTGAAAAAGGTGAGGCAGCAAATCATGCAGCTATCTCAGGAACAGCAAGTGCAAAGGCCCTAAGGCAGCACTGTGCTTGGTGTGTGGAAACAATAAATTGCTGGAGTGGAAAAAGCAAAGGGGAAAAAAGTAGGAGATGAAGTCAGAGAGGTGATGGTTGTGGCAGAGCATCCTGTTGGGCCTTGTAGGCTATTGTGAGGATGTGATGAAATGAGAAGTCATCAGAAGGTTTAGAGCAAAGCAGTGATGTGATTTGACTTGAATTTTATAGGATTCCCAGTAAACAGACTGTACAGGGGTAAGGGTGGAGACAGGGAGACTATTAAGGAGCTATTGCCATATTCTAGGAGTGAGATGGTGAGAGGTGGTTGTATTTCAAGGCAGAATCTATTCAGATTCATAGGTGGTATGAAGAAAAGAACCATCAATGATTCTGATACCCAAACAAGTAGAAACTGGAGTTTCCATTAGCCAGTTTGGAAAGGATCATGGGAAGAGAATTGCCAGACGGTCCAAATGGAGATATCAGTAGGCAGACATGTAACTTGGGTGCAGGTGAGAAGTGCAGTTCACCTCCTTCCTGCCTTTCCCCAGACTCAGCGAGGAGGAAAAGGGGAGGCAAAGATTGCAGTCTGGCCCACATAAGGTGTGCATGCTGATAACCCACAGACTCCCCAAGAAGGCTAGGTCTGTTTTGACTGGCCAGAGATAGACAGGAATTGTGTAAACAGGCCAAAAAAAGTGCTAAAGCTAAATGGTGGGTGTATCCTGTCACATTGGACAGCCACAGAGAGGACCCTGGGGTCGCTTCTTCATATGGGATTAGCTGGGGGTAGTCCTGGCATTAGAGAGAACAGCTAGGCATTAGTTGGCCAATACTCCCACGTCCATATGGCCTGCCAGCCTTTCTGACCATATTACTAAAAGCTAAGTTCCTCTCTTGAAATACCAAAATAGTATTTGCACCTAAGTTCAAATTACTGCACCATATCAGAGTTTCACTTTCTTGCTTTTTAACTTAAAATCTGTGGCTAATGTAGGGGTCACTGGGGACTGAAAAAGAGTCTTGTTGAAAAGTAACATCTGCTAGGAGATTCCCATCCCCATAGAGGAGTGTTTCCTTGAGGACCAGTATCACCGATAAGGGAAGACTGACAATAAATGGTACATAATTGTTGGTGGGGGAATGAAGTCGGTTTGCTGCTAGGAGGAGGGGATAGCAGACTGAGGCCTGAAGGGTGAGAGCCATGTGTACAAAATGTTCCAGATGAGAAAAGCCCACATGAAGCTCCTGAAGTGGTAAACTGCTAGGTGTTATTTGAGGAACTCCAAGGAGGCAAATGTGACTAGGCAAATGTGTAGATGTGTGGAGAAAGACAGGGGCCAATCCGGTACACTTTGATAAGGAATTGGGGGTTTTCCTAGGTGCAGGGGAGCCACTGAAGTGTTTTCAACCCTGGCTGCGGAGTGAAGGGGTCTAAAATTAGATGGGGCGCTAGGGGTTTGGGGCTATTGGCCAGTTCCGTGGTTGTGGGGGTTGAATATTCACACTCCCTAACTCTTGCAGTTCTCCTCCTGGTCCTCCTCTTGTTGGTGAGGAAGAAGAGGAAGGTCAAGGAGCCCCTTCTGCTCCCAGAAGATGACACCCGTGACAATGTCTTCTACTATGGCGAAGAGGGAGGTGGTGAAGAGGACCAGGTGAGGCACTGGGAAGGTCTAAGTGTTGGGAAATGGATGCCTCCAGGGCCACTGGCAGGGATGGTTGGGTTAACCAACTAACCATATTAGCTACGTTGACTAGACTCTGGCCTAAAGCATCCATCTTCATGTAAGATTGATACCTCTTCTCTTCTGAGAGGGTGTCTGGTCTACTGCTGTAGTCCCTTTGGCCCCAGCTAAGGTGACCTTGAGCCTGTGCTTAATTTTGGAGGAGGAGCTGTGGGAACAAGGGCTTTCAGAAATATCTGACAAAGACTATCTTTTAAGACCTACCCATAAACCAGAACATCCAAGTGGCAGGGAAATGGCATGACATACAAATGGTGGAGGAGCTCACTTCTCAACCCCATGCTGTCCTTGACTTTCATGAAGGACTATGACATCACCCAACTCCACCGTGGTCTGGAGGCCCGGCCTGAGGTCGTTCTCCGCAATGATGTGGCGCCGTCCTTCATCCCCACACCCATGTACCGTCCACGTCCAGCCAACCCAGATGAGATTGGGAACTTCATCATCGAGGTGAGGCATAGGGGGCCAGCCAAGGGAAGCCCTTGATTCAAGCACCAGCAGTATGGGGGAAAAAAGCATGGGCTTGGAGTCTTGGCTCTGGGTTCAAATCTTGGCTCCCCTGCCAACCAGCTGTGTGACCTCCTGACATTTGGCTAACGTCTGGGCTTCTGTTTTCTCCTCCATAAAACCCTAAATTGCAGAGTGGTTAACAGTAGGTTAAGAATAATTTATTCATTTATGCAACACACATAACAGTTGCTTGAAAACTGTGCAGCCAGACTACCTGGGTTTAAATTTTTAAAGATCCTAGCTGATCCCAATGTGGAACAGAGTTGGGGACCCGCTGTCATAAGTCACTTTAAGGGTCAGATGAGTAAGCACCTAGAACAGTAGTTTCCAAACATTGAAATCTCCTGGGGAACTTAAAAAACTACTGACGTTTCTGACTCCCCATGGAGATTGTGATTTAATTGATCTGGATATGGCCTGGGCTTCAGAATTTTTAAAAGATTCCCAAGTAATTTGAGTCTAGGAACCACTGGCCTGGCATGTAGCATTTATTTTATTTTATTTAAAAATTTGTTTAACATTTATTAATTTTTGAGAGAGAGACAGAGGGTGAGGTGGGGAGGGGCAGAAAGAGAGGAAGACACAGAACTCTAAGCAGGCTCCAGGCTCTGCATTGTCAGCACAGAGCCCAACAGGGGGTTCAAACTCACAAACCGTGAGATCATGACCTGAGCTGAAGTTGGACGCCTAACCAACTGAGCCACCCAGGTACCACTGGCATTTATTAGGTTATGATAGTTATTGTTGATAATAGCTGAGTGTCTCCAGTGTTCTTAATTCTGATCATACATTTGATTTATCTGTGGGATTTTGAAAAATAACAATTCCTGGAAACCAGGGATTTCTTTTTAAGACTCCAATTTTTTTAAAGCTCCCCCAGCTTAAAATCAAATATACAGGCAGGGTTGTGATAACCACTGAACTAGGTACACAGGAAATAAATGATAGGAGCCTCTCACAGCCTGGGACACCATTAGCAGTAAATGGAGGTTTTTCTTTCTTTTTTTTTCCTTAAGCTCTGCACCCAATGTGGGGCTTGAACTCACGACCCCTAGATCAAGAGTTGCTGGCTCTACTGACTGAGCCATTTGGGTGCCCTGTAAAATAAAGGTGCTCAGTAAGAGGGAGGGAAGATAGATTGATGGGTTTGGGGAAGCAATGATGGGCAGAGGGCCCAGTGGCTTGTCAAAATACCTCACCCTGGCTTGAACATTTCTGCTTCCCCTTTTTGCCTTCTAGAAGTAGCCTGGTGGTTAGACTCTATTGTTTAGCATGAGCATATTTGAGAGAGCTGTGCAAAAACAAAAGCATCTGGGGAAAGTTGCCCAGAGCAGATGGTTTGAAAAGATGCCTTGGAACTAAATACCTGGAACTTTTCCCTCCAGTTAAATGAAGACCATTTCCAGAATGTCTCTGTGTCAGATAGTTTGCAAATACCATGTCATTCAATCCCCACATCGACTGCAGGGAAGGAATCCTATTGTTGTCCTGATTTTACAAATGACGAAAATGATGTTCCCCTATATGCCAGGTACTATTCTAATACACACTTTACATATATTTACATGTATTAGTGTATTCCTCTAAAACTATTTGAAGTATCCCGTTTTGGAGACCAGACAAAAACAGCACCTAGAGATAAAAAAGGGTTTGCCCAAGGTCACAAAACTAGTATGTGAAGTCTGAGTTCTGACTCAAGCTGTCTGGTTTCAGAGTTCCTCCCTGCTCTTGAGCTGCCACAGTGAGCACCTGCTGTATGCTGGGCTCAGTGCTAAGTATCCATGTGCATTATTTCATTTCACCCTTCAAACCTGCATGGAGGAAAGAGAGGTCTTCACAGATGAGGAAACGCAGGCTCGGCAGGGTGAGCTACCTTGCCCGAGCTCCCACAGCTGCTGAGTGTCTGACCGCCGCTCCTAACCACCTGCTCTTGTCACCACAGAACCTGAAGGCGGCAAACACGGACCCCACAGCCCCGCCGTACGACTCCCTGCTGGTGTTTGACTACGAGGGCAGCGGCTCTGATGCCGCGTCCCTGAGCTCCCTCACCTCCTCAGCCTCTGACCAGGACCAAGACTATGACTATCTGAACGAGTGGGGCAGTCGCTTCAAGAAGCTGGCAGACATGTATGGTGGTGGCCAGGACGACTAGGCGGCCTTCCAACAGGACCCGGGCTAAAGGTGGGCCGCAGTGGCATTTCCAAGGAGCCTGAGTCCTCTCCTCAGCCAAGAACTTGGGAGCTTGTCAAGAAGTGGCCTTAGCAACTTGGAGGAGAGAGGTGTCAAGTCCGACATTAAGGGGTGGTTTCTGAGCCTTTCAGAATAGAGGGCCATGGGCAGTTTGATTTCACTTCTGAAAACCTCTCAGACTAGGCCAGGGTTGCTTCTGAGATCAAATTTCCAGGAGTCTATAACCCGCCATAAAATGCCTGGCTCTATGTCCTGAGACTGGACAGACTCTGACCACCCCCTGCACCACCCCCCCGCCCCCCACC